TAAGTGAAGCGTTGAAATTCAAGTTTCTTATTTTTATTTGCTTTGAGTTGATAGACTCTTGATGTATTATCTGACCACAAGACTCGAGAGTGTCCAAAAGACAGAACCGAGGTTTGAAATGGAAAGATTGAGATCAATTGGTGAGTGTTCCAATTGCATGTTAGGATCATGTGACTCGTTGCCTGAAATTGCTAGATATCTTGACTTGTTATTGTAATAGGCGGGTGTGTACTTTAGCGAACTCGACCTAACTTTGATTGAATGATACTCAATGTGCCTGGTTGATTGATACTGCTATATATATTTTGAACTGCAAATGAAAAGGCGAGTGTGTACTTTATCGCATCCGACCTAATTTCGTTTGAGCTCTTTCGAGCTACAAACGAATTGGCTCGCGAGCGGCTCGAAAACGAGTTCGAGTCGAACTCGATCAATATCGAATTCGAGTCAAACTCAAGCTAATCAAATCGAACTCGAGCACAAAAATACCAATCGCGATCTTAATTATATATATTTTTTATTTTTTATTTTAATAGTAAAATTACATATATATCTCTAATATTTTATTATTTATTAAAAATTATTATTTTATTCATTTCTAAAAATAAATAATCATTTTTAAAAATTAAAATATTTATTTTTAAAAAAAAATAAAATATTTTTTTTAAGCTCAAGCTCGACTCGAATTTGAGTCAAGTTCAAGCTCGAACTTAACATTTTGACCTCGTCGAATTCAAATTTGAATTCGAGTTTCATAAAATTAACTTGAGACTCAATTCGATTAAGTCAAATCTCGATTCGAGTAGACTCGTTTGCACCCTAGAGCTCTTGTTATCCTGTTTACAAGTGAACTGATATACATGTATATGACTTGAAAGTTGGTTGCAAATGTTATCTCATCAATTATATTGAGTGTTTGAGATTCCAAACTCCATTGGCTAATTAGTCGAATCGAACCAATAAGAATTTGATCAAGGAGGTTGATGAACCATGGATAATGTTTAATGTTTATTGTTTAATCCCTTGATGTGTCCTTTGGAATTAGTATACTCGAGTATTAACACCCAATGTCCTAGTGTTCTTAGAATTCGAGCCGGACAAGGGGGTTGATCGGTGGACAGAGACTGAAGTTAAGCGGTGATCTACGAATATTGTTATTACTGAATTTCAAACGTTGACAGAGTGTCAACGGACTCGAAAAACACTGTTGTGGAACTGGTTTGCAAGAGCCCACTGTATCCTTGAGTTGCAAGTGAAATACTGAACGACACTAATTGTTATGCCTAGAATCTGGTAGGAGCCATCGTATTAGTTGTATCAACATTTGAATCTTGGATGCTCTACCGAGAATCCAGCAAGAACCACCGTATCAGTTATATCAACATTTGGATCCTGAGTGCTCTGCTTAGAATCTGGCGAGAGCCACATTAACAGTATTGTATCCTTTTTTTTATTGGTATTAAATTGCTTATTTGAATATGTGAACTGTTAATGACTTTACTTGTAATTGTTCACCTTTTTCGTTTTATGATTTTGATATATGTGATTGATATCTTACCAATTTGACTACATATTTTTTTGGAACTTCACTGGTCTTTAACTCATCCCATTATTTGTTTTTCTTAATAGGATGTGGGGATGAGAGAGATAAGAATAGTAATGGTTTGTAATAGAATATCTTGAGTTTGTATTTGGTCGACACTGTATTATGATACTAATCATTTATACTCTTTTCCTTTGATTTGTATTTTGGTTTGAATATTTGGACGATTTGTAGCATGTAAATGTTATATTGAAAGATTTTAGTGTTATTGATTTGGAAATGTTAGTGATTGAGTTTTGGTGAAAGTTGGGCAGGCGGTCCGCTAACCTCTGGGATACGCCCTAGGGGAAGGTAGGGTCGTTACATTATTAGTTTCTGAATTTTTTTAAATGTATCAAACCTATTGCATATATTTTTTTTTCAAAAAATAAATTTTAAAAATACAAAAATTGCAATGAAAATTGTAAACAATTTCAAAAATTTCAAGGGTATCATATTTGTTTATGTTATCCTTTCTACTCCTTGAAAGGACAAGAGAATAATCTTCATTTGCTTTGAAATTATTGACTCGAGAAGCATATTTTTTAGATGTTGTTAATATAAATATTGGCTTCTTAGAATTGCATTTGACAAGGGAAAGGTAACGAAAAAAAAATGCGGGAAGGTTTAAAGAGAAAATTGGAGAAGATATTAGATGGGAAGAGAAATGGAGGTTGCGTCTATCTCCATCCTGGCTGCATGTGTGCCTCTATCTCCATCTTGGCACATATGCAGCCTAAGTGGCAAAAAAAGGATTATAAAGATAATAAATTTTAAAATTATGTTACTTTGGGTTTATGTTTTGAAAGAAGAGTTTTTTTGATAATAAACTCATTCTAGATAATCCTTCCATGATTATCTCTTTTCCATCTCTCTCTTCTTTTGCCTTTGTTTGTTTTATTTCCATACAATTCTAGATAATCCTTCCATGACTATCTCTTCCATTCTCTTGCCCTTTTTTTTCGTTAACCCCAATTCTAATCTAGTGTTCAAGTCTAAATTTGTTGCGAGGAACATTTGAAAAACAAAAAGTTGGATCAAACCAAATGACCCAAAGATACGTACTTTAAGCAAGTTAAGAAAGATAAAAATACTTTTTATTATCATCTTTTTACATCCTTATCAATATCTCTTTATATCCTTATCAATTCTTATTTGCTATGCCTACATATAGGTTATTAACTTCTGTAACATACGAACTTGAACTATCAAATTCAACGACTGAATTGTCAAATTCGGTGATTGGGTAGTGAGTAATAAATTAGTAATTGGTTCAACTAAATTTATAGTTAGGTGTTTCCAGTGTAAAATCTTGACACATTAAAGTATCAAGTTTGGCTTTTTCACTCCTCTTGATTATCAGGTACATCTCTTTTCAATACACATTTTTTATTTGTTATTTTCACATCACTTTCTTTTTTTGTGTTATTTTTACAACATGCAATAATGGAAAGAATGCTATTAGAATTAAGGTTTAATTGTTTTGGTTTTGAAATTCCAAGCGAAGATGAAGATATAGAAAATAATGGAAGGGATAATATCAGAAACCTCCCCTGAGGTTTCTTCAAATATCACTTAGCTCCCCTCACATTTTAGAAATCTCTCTTACCACCTTTTGAATTGACATTTTCTTAACAATGTCAGCCCTCTGAGCAAAACTAACATTAGAATATTGGTTTTGGAGGAGGGACAGTATTTTAATTCCTTTCATACGCTTAGTTTGACTGAATCCTATGACATATCAAAGTTGCAGTAGGTGGAAAATGTGAATTGGAGATAAATTTTCTGGTATGAGCATTGTTGCATGGCCGTTGGACATGCAACGACTACTTTGAGTGAATAGCATGAAACGTGAGGGAAAAGCAACGGCTACTTCCAGTGGTATTAAAAGGTGAGGGAACCGCATGAAATAGCTGCAAAACTTAAAGGGGAAAGCAAGCAAAGAAATGGCTAGTTGATCCTTCCAAGGTCAATCATACAATTCACCTTCATCATTAAGCATGAAGAACCGGTATTATAAATGCAACCGCAAGGCTACATTACAAATCTCAGAGAGTGAAAGAAATCCGGATAAGCTATATTTTAGTTGTTCAAAGTGCAACCACTTCCAGTGGTACGAAGGAAATGAAGGCGAAGAGTTGCAGAGGCAAAGAAATGAAGGTGAAGAAGTGCAGTGTACAAGAAATGAAGCTGATTCTGCAGTGCTTCCATTGAGGAAAGCAAATCAGAAATGTAACTTTGTGCCTCAACAGAATGCATGCATCACTTTCTTGTTCATCATCAATCTTGTACTCTTAGCAATTTTTCTTTTCATTCAAATTGTTAAAGCAATCACAGTTTCTTGTTCCAGTAATATTAGATGTGTTCCAAGCTGTTTGGAGCCTTACTGGTCATACATGAAAGAACCAAAAGGCATGTGTAACTTGGACATGATGTTAAGCTATGTGAAAAAGACTTGAAGCTATGTTTTACTTCATACGTATGCCCCCCATATTTGTTGCCTATCAGTGTTAGACCAAAAGTCATACTGGACAGAAAACGCATTAAGCTATCAGGTGCAGTTCCTTAGGTACAATATGTCTCTCCTGCCAAGTTCATTGAACATGAGCTCCAGCAACATGATTTTGAGTGCTTCCATTACTGCCTTGACTTGATACAATGACTGGCACAGTTCCTTGTGCATGTTCCTGACAAATCAGATCCAAAAGCTAAACTCATTTGCAAGGAATTAATACACATGAAGATACTATAATTTGACATTGCTTCAATTACCCATAGAACAGATCCTGCTAATCCAGTATTGGCAATGCCTCTTCCTGGTTTTCCTCTTCGACTTGCTACCTGATTTGTAGAAGTACTGCCGCCTCTTTTTTCAGCAATATGAGCTCCTTGACAAGTTCTCCTATTATGTCCAAATCTGCAGCACTTTGAGCACCTGAAACTGATTGATCTCTTGTGTTGAGGTGCAGGAACTCCTTCATCAGGTGCTCTTCTTCTATTTCTTCTTGGTCTACCCGCTCTTCGTCTAAGTGGTGGTGGCAAAACTACTACTGGTGTCACATTTTCCATTGGAGGCCACTTATTCATATGTGGAATTGGGTTGATCATGAATGCATACATTTTCAAGTATTGATCAATGGAAAAGGCTGCATCACAGTAGCTTTCCAGTTTCTCCCTTCTATAAATAGCTCCTAGTGCATCATGCTTGCAATGAATGCCAGTCAACTGGAAAGCCCCGCATTCACATGTCCTCTCAGTCAACTTGACTATATAGGACTTATCATAGTCTGCTACTTCAAACGTGTTGTCACTTGCCATTATCAGTGAACACCTTCTTGATTCAGCTGAAATATCCTTTAGCTTGCCAATAACATGTGGAGTAACACTAGATGTCCATGTGCAGCCTTTTTGATACCTTTTATGCAGTTTTTTTCATGAATTTTTGCCTCAGTCCTTCAGCCAGAGCAAGTATATTCTTCCCTCTCAGTTCTCCAACCCATGCATTAAAAGATTCTGTGAAATTATTGGTGACATGATCACACTTAATTTCAACAGAAAATGCATGCCTTGCCCAATTACACTTAGGAATGTTTGCTAAGTATCTCCAAGCATCAATGTTAATATTTTTTATTCTTTCCATAGCCTCATTGTGTCCTATCAAATCATAACTTTTAGCTGCTTGCCAAAAAAATCTCCTTAGCAGCAATCCTGGAAATTTGACTTTGAAGTTGCAGTAGATGTGCCAACAGCAATATCGTGCAGCAGCTTCAGGCACTTGTTCCTCATAAGCAAGGTTGAGTCCCTATACAGAAGTTTCAGAAACAAATTCCTTCAAACATTTGATTCAGCCACTATAACAGCAATGGAGAGAATCTGAAACATGAAAAATACAGAAATATAAAACATACCTTTTGTCTATCACTCATGAAGGTGAGTGGAATATTGGCTGGAAATGGTCCAAAGAATTTCTGGAAATAATAAAAAAAAAACCAACTCCAGGCTTCCCTGTTTTCACACTCTACAACAGCAAAAGCTAATGGAAACACACTATTGTTCCTATCAAGAGCAACAACAGTCAACAGAATGCCCCCAAATGCACCTTTCAAATGGTAGCCATTAAAGCCAATAAATGGCCTGCAACCTGCCAGGAAACCATCTTTTTGTGCCTTGAAAGAGACAAACAATCTTAGAAATTTAGGCTCTACCAGAACGTTTGTCCTATCATAATGAATTTTCATGATGTTTCCTGGGTTGTGCATCCTCAACAGTTCAGCATATTTTGGTAATTTTCCATAGGCCTCACTGTGTGATCCTTCTATCTGTTTCAAGGCTTTCTTTTTTACCCTGTAAATTTGCATTCTACTTGGCAAGACTCCATGCTTCTGCATTTCAGCCTTTACTCCCTTGCTTGTCATCTCTGGGTGATCTCTCATAGCAGAAATTAACTTCTTTGCAATCCAATCTGATGTTGCTTCTGAATTTTTCCTATTCATGACACACGTATGCTCAGGTGTATATGTCTTAACCATGAATGTGGTTGTATCACCAACTGGGGATGCATGAATCCTCCAATTACACCCCTCAGCACCACACTTGACAGTGCATTTGCTCTTTTCATTTTTCAACCTCACCAATGGAAATCCTTTCTGAATAGCATAGTCCTTCAACAATGCTCTAAATGCATCCACATTGGTAAATAGTATCCCTTTCTCAAACTCAATGTCCTCTCTTGGATTGTAAATCCACATTTTTTACTGCATGATTGCTCTCATAGGATCAGTCTCTTGGTCAGATTCTGAATCAGGGACAACTGGTGCATCCTCTATCTCCTCATAATCAAACAAGTCATTTTCCTCCTTATCACTATTAGAAATTAAGGCCCTATCTTCAACTATGACATCTTCCAAGTCACTATCTATGTCATCCTTCCAAGAGTCATCAGAACTAGAAGCATAAATGTCATCACCCTCATTGTCAACTACAGTAATAGGAACATTTTTGATTCCTATGTCTTTCTGTGCCACAATAAGTTGGTTATTCCTGTAGTCTACCATATTCTCCTCTGTAGTAGGAATAATATCCAGGTGCAGCAAGTACAAGTTTATAACAAGATCATTTTCATGAAGTTTGAACATATCAAGGACTGATTTGTCACTACTAATGTCCATGAAGCCTGTTGTCCTAAGAATCGCACATTTCATATGCACAAGCATGTTCAAATTTCCAGGCAAATCATTCATTGCCTTATCAGTAACATCATCAAGAAGGTCAATATATTGGTAGTTCTTTGGATCGACACTAGGAATTCTGACAGTGTTTCCCATGTAATGGACTAGAATATCATGTGCAATAATTCTTCCCATCCTACATATCAGTGTGTTTGCAAGAAAAGTTTGAATCAGTAGCTATAAGGATCACATATTCTCACAAGGGACATAGTATAACACACGCATGCTTAATCAAAGTCAAACTCAGGTTGTAAAGCTAAGCCACAAAGTTAAGCTACAAAGTTAAGCTACAAAGCTAAGCTGTTCTTATGTATTACAGCTTAGCTTCAACTCAATATTCATCAACTTTTTTGAACCAATAAAATAAAGGTCAAGCATAGTTCATCAAATCAGACATTCTTTACAGCATCCAACATTAACAATACTTAATATAAGGATCACATACAAAGGCTTTGGTTGGATGTTAAACTCGGTCATCAAGTCCAATAAACCACAAAAACACAAGGAAAACAGAGATGTTATAGGAATCATGAAGAACAGTTCATGACACCTGCATTTTGTCCTTTTACATGTTCATCATATCAACTACCAATGGAACTCAGCCAGAGCAAGTCCAACAAAATAGAAAAACACAAGAAAACAGAGATATTATAGGCAACTGATGAAGAACAGTTCATGGCACTTGACAAGTTTTCCTTCTACATGTTGATCATATCAACTAGCAATGGAAGATTTTTACCTGTTGTGCAGCTCAGTTTTGACAAAATCACTTTCACTCCAACCGAACTCATGCAATTCAATACTTTGCAATATTTCTCCTCCTCTGCAATATCCATGGACCAATTTCTAGAAAGATACTATCAAATAACAATCACAGTTATAAGTAGTATTTCATTCCTCTTCATTTCCCGGGCTATTAGACGTCTTATCAGAGCAAAATGGCGCCATGCAATTCATACGGAACTTAGCTTCTAGGCGGCAATGCTTTCCCGGGCTTTATACAATTCCATGCTTGCTCTCTCAGTCATTTTTTGCATTTTATCAACTGAATAAGTTAAACAGCAAAGCAAAGGGTATTGTTGGCAATTGATTAGATTTCTTGTTGACTGTTGACCCATTATCACTTGAGGGGTGGTAAGAGAGATTTCTAAAATGTGGGGGTAACTAAGTGATATTTGAAGAAACCTCAGGGGAGGTTTCTGATATTATCCCATAATGGAATAGAACAATCGTTTGCCTTGGTGGCTGGGTTGTTGCTATGGGGAAGCTTCTGCACTTAACGTAGTCATGAGTTAAATTTTTGCCAATTACAATTGAAAAATTAAATGTTCATAGTCATCCATTAGGTCCATTGGGACAAGGATCATCGGTTGGTTTTTGGGCTATTCCAATGCATGAAAAAATATGATTAAGAAACATACATTTGTTTGTATTTTGGTTCCATTTGTGAAGACATAATGTCTACTAAATTTTCGGGGGTTAATGCAACAAGATTTTCATGAGTTTAGTTGTCTAGAATTCCTTCAGCGAAATTCCTTTCTGCTAACCAAAAGACGTAACTTTCCAAATACCCAAGTCAGAAGCTAAGACTGCAAGTTTCAAATAATTTCAGTGGTAACAAAAATTTACATGAGAAGGAAGATTCAATATACTATTTTACTTTCTCGAATTATAATCTTTATGTATTGTTTTACACAACTTTGAATGTGATAAATCATTTATTTTTTATACTTAATTATTCTACTTCGCTACCATGCAGTGATAATGGAAAATCAATAGATAGTGATTTGCACGTCAAAATGGAGGAGAATGTTCAAACTGAAGAAAAACAAAAACAAGTTTTTGAAAAGTAGAATATTCTTTGATACTATTTACTGCACTTTTTTAATTTATTTTCAAGTTTTTGAATGTTATGGTATTGTCAAATGTTAAGTTTTTCATTTTTGAATTATTATTCACTGAATTAGATGTTCAAATTTACATTATAAACATTATACAACTGTTTTGAATAGCAAAGTGCACATAGTAACGTACTTAAGAAAGGTTATAATAGATTATATAATAAGTTTGTATTTTATACTGACATTTTTTTATAAAATTCACTAAATAGTTTATTATTTTTTTGAATATTCCCATTCAACGAACGGGTACAAAACTAGTTTTTGTAAATTGCTGAATTAGCTATTCTAACCTAATGCCAAGTGGACAATTTATATTTTTGCCACATGTACACCTTAAATGTTTCTATTTTCTATTGTTTATTCCTTTTTTTTTGGTAATGATTAATTCCTTTCCTTTTTCACTTCCTTATTTATAGCAACATTTAATCAATTTATTATTTTTTGCCTTAAATACATACGTATTAATTATGTCTTACTAATTTTTTTGGCAATCAACTTATAGTTTTCTTTTATATATATACATATATATATTTCTTTCCAATCATGTTTTATATTTCGATAATTTGGGTTGATTTTATGTTAAAAGTTACTATTACTAAAATTTGGATAATTTTTATATTTTTCTATAATTCATTACTTCTTTATTTATAACAAATTTCTTTCAACATATTGTTTTCTTACTTTTTTTTACTGAAATTTGGACATTTCATTATTGAACAACTCGTGACACTTATTCCCTTCTTAAGGAAAATATTGCGCTTGTTCCAATATATGCATGGGTCTAATAGACTACATACTGGTCTCAAAATTAGTTTTAGATTGAATTTTTGTTAGGTTCAGCAAATCATTAATTTTTTTAATTTTTTTCTAGCAAGGGAGAGTGAGATTTAAGAAGTCGGGAGGGTGAAGGAGAATGAAAACCAATATTCTCTAACTTCAACGGATCTTCTGTCCCACGCTCTGTCCCATTTTTTATTATATTGCTATTTCTCCTACATAAATATCATGTTTTAGTTCTTTTTTGTCTTCTTAAGATCCAATAATACAACAGATCTTCTATCCCACTCCGTATGCCACTCTCTATCCCACTTTTTATTATATTGCTATTTCTTCTTCACAAAAATCGTATTTTAATTCTTTTTTGTTTCCTTAAAATCCAACAACTATCAATTGAGTAGTATACATAATTTAACAAACTCAAAAAATGAAAATACAGGGTACTTTGCCTTAAGAAAGCTAGAAAATGAAGATGCAAGAAACTAGAGACCTTAGTGGTTTTTGTCTTCCAAACTAAGCTTCCTTAAGTCCCTATCTATTCCAAGACTTTTCCTTAAAGTTAGTACTTATAGGAGACTAACAAAATTGCAAAAATCATGAAAATGTTGTAGAAAACATCTTACAGCCGACCTTGCGTAGTGTGAAACCAATGGTGGCCAACCGGTTTTTGGCTTAATGTAACCGGCATCAGGTGCCCCTTATGTTTTTTGCCCTTTTTTTCATCCTACCAGAGTGCAACTGGTTCTTGCAACCTGTTTTGTACCTATTAAATGATGGCCCACTGCACTCTTGTACACTTTTCACCTTTTGCTCGTTCCTTCATCGATTCTCCGTTGCCTTGCCATCCATTGTGATTCCACTTCAAGTCTGCTTACCGCTTCAATATATCAGGGAAGCACGCAATCCTAATCTCCTTCTAAAAGTGCTCCTAGATCTTTGAATTCCTACAAGTATGCAATTGCTAAGCTTAGTTTAGAGAATTGGAACTTTTGTTCACTTAAACCTCTTGATGCAAAAATCAACAAAATCTCTAATAAATATACTATTATGACACTTAAAACATACCAAAATAATTATACTCCTACACTAAAATTCATGCAAAATAAACACTTAGTAGCTATGATGATTTCTAAAAATAAAATAGTATCTCGAAGAAAAGCCTTGATGTTTGACTTTATTTTGTTGTTTGAATTTTGATTTAAATTAAACACAATTCTGCTTGTCAACATAGTTGCGACAATGTGTTGAATTTGTATTAAGTTCGATACAATAAAGTAAAATCCAAATGTAGTATTATTATCAATTAATTTTAAAAGTCTCCTTTAAAAATACATTTCTCGTATATTCCTACACTACAATGCTCATACAAACACATTAGCTGGTAATTAACTATTTATAGTCATTGAGAAAATGAAAAATCAAAATAAAAGAATTGCCAGAAGGCAAATGAAAATGACACATGACCAAAGTAAATGAACCATAACAAACCTTCAAGTATGTCCTCAGAATACTATAAATCATTCCTAGTGAAATAAATATCAATAAACATAATTAAAGAGGCATCACTGGAAAATCAATTGCAATCGAATAAAATTTATGATGAAATAGCAGTTAGAGGTCCTGATTCAAATCATCCTTTCCCATCCCCTTTTTAAAACTCATCACTTCCTTGATAAAAACATTAAAATTTTCCAATAAAATCTCATCGTAAAGAAGTAACATTCCGTAATTTCAAATCCAATATTTGGTTGCCACATCGTAAAGCAATAACAGAAATTTCTATGCACTAAAACCCCTCTCAAATGCGTTAGCAATCTATCATAACAAGTCATAGCTAGTGTT